AAATCTTGTTATGGTGCTCCCACATTAGAATCACGAGGAGTTAAGCCAGTCCTGTCTGTAAGTCCTAGGGCCTTTTAGTCTTAATGTTTTAGGTTGGCAGTCATGGAACATTTGTTATGTACCTAGAGTACTGTGTTAAGTGCTTCACATGTGTTATCTCATTCTCATTTAATCCTCAGTGGTTTATGAGACACATCTTGCTATTGTCCTTATTTTACAGATGAGGAAACTAAGACAAAGGACTCAAGTAGTTTTCCCATGATCACACAAACACTTGGAAGGAATGTAAATGCAACCCCATTTTTTTGTTTACAAGGATTTAAATTAAATTGATTCCTTAAAGATCAAAGGATTGCTTATTTTTCTTAGATACTGTGCAAAGATGGACTCAGTGAATTTCCCATAATATTTTTTATCGCTACAACCAAATGCCCCTTTTTCTTTCATTCTGAGACCATAATCAACTTAAATAACATTTGAAATGTGGACTAATTAGAAACACAAGATTTGGCCATGCTGTTGGAAAAAGAAAAAAAAAAAGAGATCAGATTCATTATGTTATCCAGAATGAACATTTTTAATGTATTACTGTTTAAAAAACAAATCCCAGAACTTGAAATGAACTTGTCTCTTCTGTAACAAGCTTGTGTCCCATGCAGGTCCTTGGGAATCCCATCATGTTAATATTATTCATTATAAGTCATTATCAAATGGTTTTTGATCCACAGACCCTGACAACCCAGATTCCTCTTAAATGCTGGTTCCTGAGGCTCTGTCTGAAAACTTAACATTTCCAGGTTAAGTTCCAGGGTTTTGCAGCCCTGTGAAGTGAGCATCAGGATCACACTCAAGTTTTTTTTTTAGAAAACACAGACACCTCTCACCAGCCCAGAGCTATGTCCATGCCATCCCCAAAGCTGGGTACTGAACATCTCCATAGTCACGGGGACTGACACAAGCCAAGGTTGGGGACCACCCAACTTCCCATTTGATTGGGTCATCTTATCCCACCTGTGGCTTCCCCACTTCCTCTCTCTGTGGCCTGGCCTCTCTGAGTTCTAAGCCCCGAGTCCACTGCCCCTGGCAAGCTTCCTCTGTGTGTCCCATGGGCATCTGGGATCAACAAAGCTTTGGGGCTCTAAAGCGATTTCCTTAAAAGGTAGCTCTCTTTCTAAGATATTTACCAATTGAAAAATCAGGTCAAAAAGTCAGCACATTCCAAAATATCACCGTTATTATGGAAAAGCAGAACTTAGGAGACTAGAGTTTAAGAAAATGCACTTCCCAGTTTCCTGCCCCCAACTGAGCCTGCCTAAGGAGGATCGAAAGTCTAGACCCCCCACATAGGAACTTTACCCTTAGAAACTTGGACAAGAGGTGGTCACCTACTAACCAGGACAGTAATCAGGGCTAGAAAAAAAAGCTCAGCAGCATTTTGGAAAAGGTCCATCTTCATAAAGAAGGGTGGTGGGAAGGGGCACCCCCCTCTGACAGTGTTCAAGCCAGAAGCCCTAGGGCCCTTCAGTGCCTCTCACTCCTACGTCTGGTGGAGAGCAAGCCCTGCCCTCCTCTCTTCCACCACCATCACTACATTGACAAGGCTTTTTTTTCTCTCATCTGGATTCCTCCAAGGTTCCAACTGGCCTCTCAGCTCCAGTCCAGACTGCGTACTGAAATCAAGTGATCATTCCACAGCAGAAAATTGATCACGCCATGCTCATGCTTGACATTTTTTAATGGCACTCTATTCCTGATATGCTATGCCATCCCGATAGATGTTTATACATTATTTTTTAGCCTAAGAGGCCAAATAGTAAACTCTGAATGGAAACATTTTGACTGCCAAATGTGGAGTCTAGGATATGGGGTCTGAGGTTGGGGAGGAGTTACAAGTATGTCTTGTAAAAACCCAAAGTCCTTTCCTCCCTATGAGAAGAGCCAAGTCTGAGTGGCACTGAGTCTAGTGATGCCAGACTCACAGGTTAGAGAAGCACTGGACTAGCTGGCGTGACCTCCACCATATACATGGATCACACATGGAGTGTTCATCTTGGGATTATGGCATCCAACTACCTAGTTCAGGATTATGGCACCCATTTGTTAATTTAGCAGAAGTCAAGTTAGCACCAGTGGCAAAAGATAGGGGGATAAGTCTAGCTTTGTCATGGGAAAAAGTCAATTTCCTCTGTAGGACTTCTAAGATCAGTATGAGCTGCTTCCTGTCACATCTCTCATGCCATCTCCCACTCCCTAACCCTCTAATCTTAGAACCTGAAGTTGGTGGAAGCCACCTGGTTGCTTAAAACCTCCAAGCCTTGTGGTTCATGCCCTTCTGTCTGTTGGAATGCCTGTCCTGCCCCAGCAAATTCCCGGCTGTCTTAATACCATGACCCTTTTTCAGTCATGCCTCAGGCAAAATGGCCATTTCCTCCACTGAATCCTCACTTCATCCTGCGCAGCCTTCTCTTATGGAATCTACAACGGATTGACCATTCATTCCCCAGCATGTTTCTCACTTGTTAGTCTGAAATTAACCTTAGGGAAAAGACAGGCTGATTTAGTTACATCTTCAGTGCCTACGTTTTGATAGGTACTTAACAAATCTTATCTAAATACTCTTTAATCACAATGCAAAGTGAATTTTATAAGGATTATCTCTAATAAGAATATGCAAAAAAAAAAAACCCAAATCTAGTGATTATTGAAGGTAAATCTTATCAGAAAAAGATTTTTGGCCACACACCATCATCTATTCAGATTTTCTTAGGATAGCTAATTGCTACATAAATTTCACTACATAAATGGGAACAGAAAATCTCCTTGGTTTAGTTAGTGAGAAAATTTCCAGTGTGGGATAGTCTATTTTTATGAAGTGAGTAAAGTCTTTCAAAACAGTCATCATGAGAAGTAAAGCAGACTAAGGTGGGGTGGGGGGAAAGGAGAAGCGCCAAGCCCCACACTCTGGGAGTGGGTTGGCCGCAGCCATCTACTTAATGCATCCACAGACCCAAATGTTTGCAAGGTGAATTAACAATCTCTTTGGGGATTAATATGACAAATTAACAATCTGAACTCTTTAGAGCAATGATGACTAGAATTCTTAATAATAATCTTGGGACCTCATAAAACTCTAATAATTCCCCCCAAATCATATACAGTTAGATTGTAGCTGGTAGTTTTGGCATTGAGCATACTATCATGTTCTCATTTGAATAAACATTTGCTCATTCAAAAATTCAACAGATATTACAATAAGATATACTCCATGTATGTATAATATGTCAAAATATTCTCTATTGTCCTGTATATCTAAATAGAACAAATACAAAAAAGAGAAAAAATAAAATAAAAGGATGGACCCTTAAATCTAACCATGTGTAGGTGACTGAAGGCAAAAATGTGGGGGTGAATGGAAGAACTGACCAGAAAGCTAGGAAGGAAAAAAATGTTTGAGTCACCTGTGTCTGTTCTACAAATGCATCTTCATTTTGCCTAAGACATTTTAAAGTCTCAGATCATAGAAGCACATGCAGATACGAACACAGTGTGCATACCCAAAAGTCAACGATGATTTTGGATTGTCCATGCCCATGTGAGCCTGTGTGATTAGAGAATACTTTCAGGAACACGGATGGGGAATCGCCTCATGTCTCCTACAGCGGGAATCCCACCCATGCACACCCTCCTACTGGGGGGTTTTCTCTGGCTCCTGCTGTACCTGGTGCCATCCCAATATCCCTCACTCCACTGCCATGATCAGATGGTGTGTCATCTGAGATTCTTAAAACACCTCCAAATTCTATAGCTATGTCATGGGTAATGAATGAAAAGAAGAGCCTTTGGATTCTATCTGCATACGGCTTCAGTCTTTTCTCTAGGAGGGTTTGCATGCACAGTTATGAGCTGTGCACATCTTGGCCGATGGCCCGAAGAAAAAGCTTATCAATAATCTGCACAATGAATATCTTCAAGTCAGTTGCTTTCTTTGATCTTTGACCACGCAACTGATAAGAATATAATCGTATACTATCAACATTCCATGTAGGTAAAGGATATCTGAGTTTAGCAGTAGGTAATTATCAACATTTCTCTGTCAAATAATCAAGTTCTCTTTAAACAGACCTACCTAAAATAAGTAATTTAAATTGAATTGTCAAGCAAGCCACTCACAAAAACAATCCAGTACTCACCCCTCACCCCAATCCAGGGTCTGGCACTTTTCCTCTTTAATTGACTCAGTATCTTTTTCAGTGGATTTACTCAAAATCTAAAGGCCTGCTTCATTTCCAAGTTTTAGGGCCTAAAGTTTCCATTTTTAGTTATCCATTCATTCCAAACATTTTCTGCACCATAAAATGATCATAAAAAGCAACCAGTAGTTTTTGCTACAATAGTAATTCTACTTTCCAAATCTATTAAACTGTCTTGGTTTTCATAAAAACATGACAGGTTGTTGTTTTGGTTTGGATGTGAGGTGTCCCCCAAAAGCTCATGTGTGAGACAGTGGCAAGAAGGTTTAGAGGAGAAATGATAGGGTTAGGAAAGCCTGAACCCAATCAGTGGATTAATCATCTGATGGAGTTAACTGAGTGGTGCTGGAGGCAGGTAGGGTGTGGCTGGAGGAGTTGGGTCCCTGAGGGCACACCTTTGGGGTGCATATTTTGTATTTGGAGAGTGGAGTCTCTCTCTTTGCTGCCTGACCATCATGTGAACTGCTTCCCTCTGCCAGACTTCCGCCATGAGGTTCAGCCTCACCTCAAGCCCCAAGGAATGGAGCCAGCTGTCTATGGACTGAAACCTCTGAAACTGTGAGCCCTTGAATAAACTTTTCCTCCTCTACAATTGTTCTGCTCAGGTTCTTTGGTCACAGCAGCGAAAAATGCTGACTAAAATGGTTGTCTTTAAGAGGAAATCAAATTTATGCAAGAGTGAAAATGTTCCCTTACAAAAAAAAAAAAACTTTTTAGATTGAAATAATCACACAAAAGAAAGAAACAATATACAATTTGGGATTTCAGTTTATTTTCCATGTTTACAGAATAAAAAATGTAATGTGTAGAATGTTTTATAGTTAATTGAGATGAGGGAGGGCTATCACTGGAGGACCCAAAAGGGAACAAAGTAACTTGGATACCAGCTGTACTGTGACCATGACAAATGCTAACACTGCTACTAACATCACAATGAGAAGAGGCTTCGAAGCATAAACTTGGAGATGTAAATGGACTTGCATAGATGATTGCTGGTGTCTAATTCATTCATTTACATATTTAGGAATGTCCCAATAGAGCCCACCACCCAGTTAATGCAGCAGCTCACACTCAGGCTGTCTTACACATATAGTGACCAGTGACCTTCAGCAAAGCCAGTTTGCAAAACTGTCCCTCCAAGTTACAAAGTACAGAACTAATTGGAAAGAACATAAAAGGTCACTGACCACATTTTTTGCAATTGACTCCATCAGAAATAGATAGAATGATTTTATCACTGAACTTTCTGGTTGATGCTGGAGTAGAAATTCAGAAATGTGGAGTCCTGCTAACAAAAGCAATTGTCAATTAATCTCTTCTCAAATAATCCCTGGCCCAGTGGGCCTCTCATTAGCACCATTGTCGAGGATGTGAGTCAACTACCCTGGGGAGTCAGTATATGTCCTACATCATCCTTGCTGGTGTTCTGCCCTCTATGCAATAGTTGTATATATAAATGACAGCTTAGAAATAAAATCTGGTTAAACACGTCAAAATTTAGGGGTCCCAGAGTAAAATCATCATAAAATAAGGAATTATCATTAAAGTTTAGTTTTTCTTATGTTCCCCCTAAGTACTAACACATAAGTATTAGTACTGACATAATACTAAGCACTTAGTACTAAGCACTTAGTACCTAAATACTAAGATATAATACTTCAATTTTGTGTGTATGTCTGAATATTTCTGTATTTCTGGAACTGAAGGGCACTTGCACATGAAAGCAATGGCCACCTCTTTCTTCCTGGTCTCTAGAACAGTGATGAATGCGCATCTATCTAAATCTCCCACAATAAGTTGAACTAGACTTGTCACCTGCAGATCAGATGCCCAGGTCCCATAACTAATTCCCTGAGCAATAGTTCCTTCTCAGATGAATCTTTCCTAGATTTCTTAGGGTTTAAAAACTCCTAAAGGATGAGCAACTTCACAAATGAAGGCTCCTGGCCACAAGTGAAATTTCAGATAAATAGAAACACATGTAAATCCAGGCGGCTGCACATTCAAATATTGTGGTCCATATCTAAATCCGGTGCCAAAAGAAGTACCTAAGACACAGTTCAGATAATAGCTTGGGGGCTTGTTGCATTTGTCCCCAGGGCTTAAGAGAAAAGTCTTTTATTCTAAGATAAAAACACTGATGTTTCTGAGGGAGACATAACTGGTAGGCTGGTAGTGCCATATTGAAAGCAAACTCTTCTGTGCTGCCTCAGGCTTTAGGAATCTTGGGGAGACTCTAACAATGCATTAAAGAGATTTATTTCACAGGTGAAACAAACTGGGTTACCTAAGAAGAAATGGGACAGGACCTAACCAAAAGGACTCAGAGAGTCCTAAAGTCTGATTTTATTCAGTAGTTTTACATTTCTTGCCCACCCTTTGAAAGCTCATTTTCATTCTGTAGGAGAAGCGACCCTGAGGGATGAGCACGCCACCCTCCCTCTCCTGCCTCCCACTGAAACAAGCAGCTGGGCAGAAAATGGTTGACGCACAACTGAATCAAAAACTTAAAAATAGTTCCCCACCCGAGTCCTATTTTCTGTTTTGTCAAGTCCTGAGGGCAGGTGTGGGGAAACAGTGGGATGCAAATTGCTTGCTGAGAACACTCAGTCAAGGAGCCCTGCCAAGAACCCCAGGCTCCAGACCTCCCAGGCTGCCCTGCAGACAGCATCTCTCCTACCAGGGCTGAGCATAAAGGTGTCCGGTGTCCTTTCACCAGGAGGAGGCCAGGCCAGGTGCTCCGAAGGCCCCGATGCCCATTCTGCACCCAAGGCCCAGATGGATTCTGCACAAGCCAGCAGGGAGGGGAGGAAGTTGGGGAGGCAAAACTCCAGGTGGCTGCTGGGACCAACAGCACTCCTGTGTCTGGCAGCAGCTGCAACACTGGCTGTCTGGCAGGCTCTCCAGCAAGAAGGGGCCTTTTTGAGTTCTTTCCATGGACTACCCCAGGAAACCTTCCGGCCTAAGGGAGAAAATCGAAGGGACTATGTAGTGTGAACCTCAAGTTGAAAGAAGTGATCCTGGCTCCCAAGCAATGCCCCACTGCAGGTTCTGATGCAAGGTATGACTCTAGGTCCCTCCTCCACATTCAGAAATGCCAAGCCACTTGGGTCATGCTTTGGGGTATACTGGACAGAGAGGGACTGGTATCAAACACCTCTTTGAAATTCCACCTACTGGTCATGGGTCCTCGGGCAAGTCCCTTCCTGTCTGACCTTCCTTTTTTCTCACCTGCAAAACTGAGTAATTCTTATCTCAAAAGAATGTGGGGATTGCAAGGCTGTGCAGAGCAGGATCTGATATACAATACCTGATAAATATGTGTCGGTGTGCTTCCTTTCCTTCTGTGACCAACACACATTTTGTCAAAAAGTGATCCAAAATCTAATATTCTGGGCATCCGTGTAATTAAAGCTAAGAACAGTGGTTCTGATGGAGGATCTAACCATTCAAGAACTGCACTAGGGGCTCAAGAACAATCCACATTTTATTTATAAAGGAATATGACATGGTGACATAGTCGTAAATTCACAGTAGTGATTTATTCTCTGTATGTAACAAGATCCATAAAGCAAAAACACTACCCAGAAATACTTAACATCACTTTATTCTAGCAGGGTCTCTGCTGCAGGATGATTTAAATAAATATACTGATATTTCTGTGCTACTTTTAGTGACCAATCACTGGTTATTTTTTCTTTCTTTCTTTTGGTAAGTTATATTAAGAAATAGATAGTAAGGCTTCCAGGGTAGTGAAGTTTGAGTAGTAATTCTCATAGAGCTTGACCTTTCTTTGTTTCTTGCCATTTTCAGGTTATAGGATCCCAATGCAAGAATCTAGCTACTAGGAAATCTCTCAAATAGGGCATCTGTAGCAACACAAACACCCTCAGGCATCCAGCCACATACACATTCACAAGTATCCGCTGAGACATACACCCACCTGCCACAGGTAAGACGGAAGTTAAGATGGCTATGTACATACGTGCCATCTGCCTGTTACGCAGAGAAATGCTCACATCTATGGGAAAAAAAAACACACACACACACACCATGTAGGGGCCTTCCACAGCTGAGCTCAGGTGGAAAAGGGTAACCCAAAGGCTCGACTTTGCTGGTTTCACTGTGTGTCTGGAACATTCACTTGGTCCACAGGGTGGTGGTGAAGGGAAGCAGGCAATCAATTCCTATCATCCAAGCTGCTGGTGGGATACCAGAGCTATAAGCTGTATAAATATGTGCACTTGAGAAGATGACAGGCAAAAAAAGGAAACAGACCACCACCATTGACTGTCCCCAGAAGGGACAGGGTGAGCACCTCATTCCTCTCCAACACATGCTAGCATGGCTGGTCTCGAAAAGGGAGTCCCTAGCTCCCAGCAATGAACAGCAATGCGGCCAACACACCAGGGCCACCTGGCTCTCACCTTGTGCTATTAAGAATTGGTCATCTTTGTAGATTTCAAGAGGACAGAGGAAGAAAGGCAGATAATAATAGTTCAGCCCCAAATGGGTGGTCAACCATTTTCTCTACGGCTTACTTTATGAACTTCAGCAAAACGATGATGCATTTTGATTTAATAGTACATGATAGTACAAAGAATGGATAACTCTCCAACTTTCTCTTTTCCAACTCCCAGAAGGCAGGCTTTTACAAAATCTAACATTGAGTTCATGGACTATTAAAAATTGTCATATTTTTTTGAAAGTACATACTTATCATGACCAAAAGTTCCCTATTGGTTAACACTTCACCAGGGAAGCCAGCAATCTGAGACCTATACTCCTCATTAAGCTCTTCTTTCACATTTAATGTTAGATTTTAATAACTTAGGTTGAAAGTTATAGAAAATCTATAAACATTTAAGGTAAATGAAATCCTATCTCCTCTCATAGGAACATACACTCTACTAGCCTTGGGGCACCGTTTTGCCCCATTAGAAAGAACAGCCCGCTGTTTCCAAGAACTGAAATAAAAATTTATTGTGTTCAATTGTGCGATGCAGCTTTCTGCAACCTTACATTTTTTAATGCCATCTACATAGTTCCCATTGCACCAGTAACTCTAGCTATTAAGATGTCGAAAGTACAAAGGCTTTATAAGGATCCTGTATTTGATTTTGTTACTCTTTCAAGAAGGACTCAATACAAAGTTCGTGTAAAAAAAAATCAATATTCAATTTAAAACAGAAACAATAATTTCAGAAAGTCTGACATTCTCCTGTACAAAGAGTGGAAGAGGGAGACGATGGGGAGAGGAGGAGAGAGAAAATAAATTCCTTAATTTAAACCTTTCTTCACCCTGCTGGGAATGTACATGCCAAAGTGAATGAATCCAACTTAACTCCTTCCAGACTGGTAATTTAAGATACGGTTGGAAGCCCAGTATTTTAAAATGCTAATGAACAGTATCATTACTGACTCTAGGTACACACCTTCACTGCACTTCCCAACTGCACCGTATTCATGGCACAGTGGCTGGTCTGAGATGTTCTCTTTACGTGGCCCAAATCTCACATATATTCACCCTCTCTTATCCTACCTACGAAATATTTCCTGAGAAAGACATCATAAGGAATTTCCAGTTTGAAGGGACCCAGAGGCAAAAACGAAGAACAAAAAGCACCATGGTTACATGGTATGTGTTTTTCATAAACAGAACCATGCTGTTGAATCGTACATCCTGGCTCCACGCCACACCCACAGCTTTCTCCTCCTTTCTTCTCCAACCCATCTTTTTGAGCTGAAGGCTGTTGAATCAAGAACAATGTTAACTTTTTCAGGTACAGTTGTAGTTACAGATATCCAAAGCCAATTTTAATTTTAAAAAGGACCCACAAAATACCACCCCGTTTGCAGAATGCATGGAATGGCAAGTGCGTATGCAGACACATTGAACAACAGACATTTTAACGCTGCCATCCTCCACTGAGAAGAGATAACTGGTCACCCTAAATATTGGGGAAAGGGAAGAATGATTACTTTTAATAGGTTCGCTGCAGATAAAGGAGGGTAAACAGAAGCACAAACAACTGAAAGGTATCTAGATGTGGCTCCTGAAGGCACTCCCCTGCAGCAGGATTTTGCCCAAGACTGATCCCCTGCCCACAGTTTGCAGCAGCTTGGGGAGAGCCCTCGGAAGCCAGCTGCCTTTAAGAAACAGATCACAGAAGAACCATTTTGAACTAGAAGATTAGCTCCCTAATCTCCTTGCCCCATACTCTGTAGCCTCCTCCATTTTCCTTCTCTCCACCTGACCAACAATTGAACAATTGATATATCAGGAACCAAGCAAGCCCCCAAGCAAGTGGCTGAGGTGATAAGTTGCACAGTGACTGTGGTCAGAAAACAACTGGGACTGGCCAGCAATAGTTGCCAGTGTGAACGGCATTGTTTGGTCTCCCTTGGCAGGGCAGTTTGAGTTGCATGAGAACTTATTGCCCTAGGAAATCAGATGGCTTCAAATGGCACCTGCCCACCTCAGAGTCACAATGTTAGTCTCCCCTCGTTGGTATGGATCCGTGGGGAGAAGGACAGGGTAGGGTGGAGTAGAGCTCCTGCTGCAGCCTAGGAGGGCATGCCAGTAGGTCTGCTCTACTGGGTTCTACCTGGTGGGCCATACTTCCCTGTGGAACCCAAGAGCCTGTGGGCACATGTGGAGATCTTTGGAGGGCTGAGCTTGCCTAGCCAGGGTTGCCCATCAGGTAGGGCCATGGTATGTATGTATGCTACAGAGGGTGGGATGGAGTGAAGTCCAGCTGGGTGATCCCAGGGAGACAGGAAAGGGCTCCCTGGTTGAACGAGCAGAGGAATGGGATCAGAAACAGAGCAGGAAGGTTTTCTCTTTGAAAAAACAAAAAGTTAATCACTTAATAGCTGTTATCTGATAGTGCACACTGTGTGTGTGTGTGTGTGTGTGTGTGTGTGTGTGTGTGTGGAGGGGGGATCTTTCTCTGAGGCATCTAAGGCAACAAAGAACAAAGATGAAGGCTAGGAGTCTCTGGAACTGCCCGTGATTCCCACACGGATGTGCAGTGTCTGGTGAAACAGAATCAGATGGGTCCCCTAGAATCCAGAGGAGGTTGACCAGAAGCAACGGGGGATGTGGTCCTGGATCTGGACGAGAGGCAGGGACTAGTTGTAAGGCGAGGCTCCCGAGGACGCAGCAGCTCCGCTTTGGTTTACAGCCGTCACAGACTCCAGAGAACGGCTTTTTGAGAAGTCCCCTCTATGAAAGTCAGGGGCCACCAGTCACTTTTTGTCAGGATGGCTATCCCCTGCTTCCTTACAAATAAAGTGCAGATGGTCAAAGGATACTGGTCTATCATCTGCCAGTTTCAGTCATCAATGAAGAATAAAAAAACTTTTTTTTTTTTTTTAAAAAAGACACCCCTCTGGACATATATATCTCTCTATATATTCTTCTTTTTATATAAAGACACAAATATAGGACTTTTAAACTGATGTCTCAGATTGTAGGCGAAGAACGAATTTGTGAGATTTGGGGTCTATGAACTCTTCGGAGAGGACGATGAATGGAATTTTCTTCACATTGACTACGAGGCTGAAGTCCAAGCATTTCAGGACGAAAACGATTCCATCCCGTAACCCGTTCGTCACCGCCTCGTCACTAATCAGTCTCCACTGCGTAGACAGCCAACGCTCCTTGTCATACTGCAAGGTGGGTCCCGCGCTGAGGTATCGTTCTAAGAAGGCCTGAAAGGAGAGAAAGATGGTTATGGAGGAAATATAATCCGAGGGGAGTCCTGCCAGCAGCCATCTGCACACCTAGGAATATGTTTTCCAAGTACAACAAGACCTCAGGGCGGTGCTTTTCTGGCCACAGCAAATTCCCACCAGATCCTCCCAGTTGAGTCATTACTGAGGAGGGGAGACTTCTTGGACTCCCTCATTCCCCTGTGCCAATCTCCAACCAGAAGGTGAGGTGGTGGTTCCCACAGACGTGGGAATGTGGGGTGGCTGGCAGCCATGGTTACCTGGAAGTCATTGTGACTCCAAGGGCTGGACCCCTCTGCTTATACTCCTCTACCTCTTTCAACTAAACCAAGTATGCCTTGGGGTCAGGGTAAACAGCAGGCCCAGAGAAGTACTCAGTAAATATGAATAGTATACTGAAAAAGCAGATCAACATTCTAGCATGGACCAAAGTGTGTGTTTCATGACTTACTGATATCATGACCTTGCTCCAGATATTACCCTTCTCCTTAGGGGGACATAACAGGGCTTCCAGGAAGAGGGGAGGGTTAGTTCTCAGAAAGTACTCAGAGCCCTGCCTGGCATGCAGTGAGCTCGATCACTGTGAACACTGTTACTGCACGTTGAACTGAGTGCCTACTTAGCCAGCCAGTGTTCCCCTTCCCTCTCGTGGGCTCTTGCTCCACGATACCTAACTCCCTGGAGTATTCTGGCTGAACTCCATCTTCCTAAGTATTATTCCTCCTGCTAAACACTGTTGTTTTCAGCAAATTCCTCCCTGTCCTCCAAATCTTCTCAAACCATGTCTCTGAATCTCTCAAATGGGATTCACATGCCCTTCTCAAAGCTCCTATAATCACTGGCATGGTCCCATGTGACATTTATTTTCTGGACAATTATTGCTGACTTCACTGTATCGGAGAGCAGGAACTGTTTTTCTTTTTTTTTCACATTTGAATTTCCAATGTGTGTGGCATAGACTAGGAGCGCCATAGCATATATATGAAATCAAATGCAGACACTGATTAATCTGTGAGAAGAAACTAAGAAGAAGGCAGAAATACATATAGAAAAATACTGGGATATATCAATCTAGTCTTAAATAGAGATCAAGGACAGTTTTTAAGTGGTTTCCCCTTCCATCCATACCTCTCTGCTACTGCCAGGTACATTATTTCTGATCTGTGGTGCGGCATCTTTTCTAAGGCAGAAAGTGGGGGTCCAGCTTACTTTCTCACTTCTAATATAAAAGTAGCTCTTATGAATCATAAGAAAAAGAAATACCTCATAATTAGAGAAATGATTCTAATAACCTATAGAAGAATTATCACTGATGGAAAATAATATGAAATTTTTGCTATCACATTAATAACTAAAGAAATCTATAATAATAAAACCTTTCCTCCTCTCAGATGGTCAATGATTAAAAAGCATGATAATGCCTCATGCTGCCAAGAATGTGGGAAAATACAAATTCGCAGATGCCACAGGCAAATGCAGGAAAAGAAAACCCCCCCTGAGAACATAATTTGGCAGAATCTGTAACTTTGATCCTGCTGTTTCTCTATTAGAAATTTATCCTTCAGATATGAAATACTGACAGAGATACATATGTAAAAAAGTGTCTCTCACTTCAGCCCATTAGGCCAGGGGTGGAGAGACTTCTCTACAAATGCCAACAGTTGCAGCTTTTCCAGCAACACTCTATCCTAACTCCTCCGCTGATAGAGCAAAAGCAGCCATAGTGGTATGTCCAGAAAGGGCGTAGCTCCATCCTATACAATGTGATTCACAAGAACAGGCAGCCTCTGGCTTTGAATAATGAACCTCTTAATCCAAATGTGCATCAATAGGCAATCAGTTAAACAAATCATGGTATCTGGGAAGAAAAAAATCATAGAGCTTTACATGAAAAAAGCAGGTTTCCAAAATATATACATGGAGTGTGATTCCATTTCTGATTTTAATTTTGCTTGCGCGCACACACACACACACACACACACACACACACACACCTATACCTGAATAGATACACACCAACTTAACAGAAAGAACTGTTGGAGGTGGGGGATGAAAATGGCAATTATTCTACTAGACTTGTCCTTAGTATTTGTATTTTTATGCTAAAAATACCTATTATTTTTAACTCAGAGAAGTGTAGGCATTTTAAACAAAACAGGAAGCAAACAGGAAACTAAAAAAATCTTGAAAAAGGGAGAACAACTGTTTGTTCTACAGGATACAAGCCAAGACTCTGCATACGCAGACTTAATTTTCTTCATTTGCAAACAGTGTAGGTACTTTGTTGCATTCTGCTTTTTGTAACTTAATACTCTTAACAAAAAATTTTCCCCACATTTCAACAGGTAATATGCCATAATTTGTCAATCACTGTTATGTTTTTAAATTATTTCCAGTTTTGAGTTATGACAGGTTATTTTGCAAAATAAATAAATAAATAAATAAAAACTTCATGTATATTCTTGTATATAATCATCCCTGCGTATCCATGGAAGGACAGGTTCCAGTCCCAGTTCCTCTTCAGATACCAAAATCAGGGAAAGCTCAAGTCTCTCATAAAAGGAAGTAGTATTTGTATATAAGTCACACACCCTCCTCTATTCTTTATTCTTTGAATTACCACTAGATTACTTACAATATCCAATACAATGTAAGTGCTATTCAGAAAGTTGTTATTCTGCATTGTTCTGGGAATGATGATAAGAAAAAAACTGTGTGCGTGTAAAGATGCAATTTTTTTTCCTGAATATTTTTCATGTATATGGAATTTATAGGTGTGGAACTCACAGATATGGAGAGCTGATCGCTTATCAGATTGTGCTGAATATCTTTCCTAGGAAAGGGATTAGTGAGTCTCATATGGAAAACCTTATTTCTTACTGAATATTTCAGTATTTCTTTCCTACAGGCTGTAGGACTGATAATAGAACCAGCAGGATCCTCATATGGTGCAATATGCTCCTATGTATAAATAGCTTCCAAATGTTACATATGCACGATGCCAAGCTCAGTCACTTGTACCATGTGATCTACATTTACATATCACCATACTTGATATCATTCTTAACAATCCAATGAGGTAGATATTATCCCTATTTTATAAAACAAGCCACGAGTGTAGAATAACTTGTGCACAGCCACAACCAATGTGGTAGGTGGGACCAGAATTTGAATCCACCACTGTCTAAAGAGATGGCATATGCTAATCTGACTCTACTTTGCCTCCTTGGCCACAACTCTCTATTATTATATGGATGTTCTTTAATATCCCTAAAAGTGTATTGATTCATAATCCAAAAGACCATTCAGGAAAATGAATTCTACAATATAGAAAATTCCCAACAAAATGACGGCATGATTTTGATCAACAGCAATGGCTATTTCATTGTCCTTATCATGACAGGTGCTATTTTAAGCATTTCATATAAATTAATTCTTTCATCTCTCATAGTGACCAAGTGAGGTAGGCATTACTATTATCGCCAGTTTTCAGGTTAGAAAATTGAGACACAGAGACATGTGGTATTTGCCCAAGGCTGCACGGCTAGTTGGAGGAGGAGGAGCCAGGTTAGAATAAGTCAATTCAGCTCCAGCACCCACAGAGCAGCCCTGACCACCAATCTATCCTATTTCTAGGTAGAAATTCTTTCCTCTCCTAGAATGTAGAGGACTTTGAAAGGCAGATTTAGAAAACAATTGTACTAAGGTAATAGACAATTAATAAGAATCACTAATTCTTATTCCTTGGTGTTTTAGAGAAGGTTTTCATTTTGTCATCCCTTTTACCACCTGGATTAGGCTGAGCATCTCTAATCCAAAGATTCAAAACCTAAAATGGTCCAAAACCCAAAACTTTCTGAGCACTGTCATGATGCCACAGCCTGATAGCCAATGTACAGAAACTCTGCTTCATGCACAAAATAATTTAAAATTCTACATAAAATCACCTCCAAGCTATGTGTATAAGGTGTTTATAAAGCATAAATGACTTTCCTAGTTAGACTTGGATCTTATGCCCAAGATATCTTATTAGGCTCATGTGAATGTCCCAAAATTTGGGTGAGGGGAGCCCAGATGTGAAACATTTCTGGTTCCAAGCATTTTAGATAAGGGATACTCAAACTAATAACACCCTGAATCCTGACTGGTCATGTTTGGTGATGAATTGGGCCGACAGCACCAGCCAGCCGAGGAGCGCACCTTGGGCGTCATGCTGTTGGTGATGCAGAAGGCCAGGTGCTGCAGGATGCTCTCCATGCTGTGGTAGTGCTGCTGCCGAGTGGTGCGCAGATACTTCTGCAGCGCCCTGGCCATAGAGGGGAAGATGGCCTGCGCTGCCTCCCGAGGGTCCATCACCTCCCCTGGGGCTTTCTGCTGCTCCTCAGCCTGGAGACGCTGGATGTGGATGAAGGCCTCTTCCACTGCCACCACCAGCCTGGAAAGTGATGTGACACAGTCATCAGGGCAGCACCCATTGCAGGCTTCAGAACAGTCCCACAGAACCTTGGAGGGCCACCTGTCCAACCTACAGGAGCCTGGCCACCACCATCTCGGCCAGGCTCAGTCACACAGCTTGCACCCCTAGCTGTTCTCCAGAGGGTTGAGGGAGAGGGAGAAAAAAGAAAGTTAACGGCAAAAATTAGATGTGGGAGGCAGGCACTGGGCCTGGGATATGAACTCTGTTCTCAATTTTGCTACCGATGAGCTTGGGAAACTTACTTTAATCCATTTTTCCATCTCTATGATGAAGGTTTAGATAAAAAGAGTTGTAAAGCCCCTCAAAGGCTGGCTGAAAAGAGATCGGCACACACCGAGAGGTAGCTGTTGTGCAGAAGCAGCTTACAAAGTACCAGAGTTCTGTCCCTTTGATCCAGCCACCCACCCTGTAGCCACTGGAAAAGGGAAGCAAGAGGCACACCACACATGAGGGCCATCACCTTTGTCCCCTGCAGTCAACAGAAGCAGATCTGGAAAGCCAGCAAGGATTGAGGGCATAGAGCAGGACCACTTCAAGGCAGGCCAGGCATCACCTGGAAATCTGTTAGAAATGCAGATTTCCGGGCCTCATCCCAGACCTACTGAGTGCATAGGGATGCCCTGACCCTGTGACCTGTGTTCACAAGCCCTCCTGGTGCTGGCTATAAAGTCTGGGAAACACAGGAGCCAGGTACACTCCAAGGGCTCAGGCAGATCATTTGTAAATAGAAAGTTCATTTGGGCAGAATAAAAAGAAAGGGGAAATAAATCCACAACAAAGGGGCGTGGTGTGGGGAGGCCCACAAACCTTGCTCTCCGCTTCTTCACCCGCCGTTCATGCTCAGCCTCTTCGTAATACAATTCGTTGTGGCTGGAGTCCCTGCGCCGAGCGGCCGCAGCGATCATGGCCCGGGACTGACCTGTGGCATTGTTACTGGGGCCTTTGGGGAAAGGACGAGGAAGAAGAGCTTTACTACCAAGGGGCTGGGAAACAGCAGATAACTAGAACCGCAGTCCATCAGCATGGTCCACCCAGCCCCCAAGAAGCCACATACAGTCCCTACACTTCCCAGGAGGGGGAATAGGACCCCTGCTCCACTTTCCCTATGACCAAAGCAATGAGAGCAAGGAAATCTAACCCCAATCTGATCAGGGGAAATAGAGAAGGATCTCAGAATGCTCAACACTTAAAACACTGGCCAAAAAACAACACCCAGAGTGTGCTGAAGATGTCACTTACCATCTGTTACACAAAGTTTCAGTTTGGCCATAAGGGCAGCTGGGACATCACATGTCAGCAAACAATGAGAGAGAATGAGCAGGGATGGGAGAACAAGGACAGACAGAGAAAAAAGAAAGTCAAGGGACATGAGACACTGGTCACACACAGGAAGACAAGCTAGGCTGGAACGTCACGGCAGCCACAACGTTTACAGAAAATACCCATGCTTAAGGACATGCAAAATGGCCCATCTGTTAATTCAAACTTAGAACCACCTTGGTTCTATCACTGCTGACCTTCTTATCAGAAAGACACGGCAGATTTCAGGCTTTCTAATAATGGGTGGCTTACTTGGCTGGTGACTTGATTTCACTAGGGAGAATCTACCTAAGTTTTTAGATCACAGGTGGAATTTACCAGACCTTCAGGATTTACCAGGAAGCTCTCACCTTGTTCACTGCCCCGAAAAGGCAGGAAGGATATTGCCACCAGAAATGGGCATAAATAAATCGACTTGTTGACAGCATAATCCTCTTCTAGAGTTGCAAAGCTCTTACCCTGACCCAAGGTGCCCTGCAAGAATGACACTGGGGTCTTGTTTCTTGCACTTTACCATCTGACACCCTGAAAACGCAACTTGGACTTCCCCAGCCTGGCCACCAACCTCCTGCCATCTACCTCCTAACCAGGACGGAGAAGTGTCTCCTAAGCATTTCACCAGGTGCCCGAACCACCAAAATTTCTAATCTGAATGGATCTGGGTAGCTTTCTGAGTCTTTTTATAACTTCTTCAAATTTTCAAAAGTTGCCCTTTCCTAACAGCTTTCAATATATGGGATTCCCAGCAGGAGGCAGGAAACACACCCACTGTTGTCTTCAATCATAAAAATCCCCAAATGAATAAACTTCCCACATCGTCAACATTCCTCTGCAAATGTTTGCCTACATTAAAAAAAAAATAAATAAAAAGGAGAAAGAAATTGTTCTGGAATGAGAAGGTACACAGGTAAGCACAAAGAGAAGGTAGAATCCAATATACCATGACATTTAAACTACACCATCACTCCAATGTGCCCCTGCACACACCGGACACGGTTTCCAGGTACATACCATCTACGTTGTAGACTTTCAGCCCGGCCATGTGCTTGGCTGCTCGGAATTTGGAGGCTGTGAGGAGGTTCGGGTTATAGATGGTGAAATCTTTGTAGTAATTTTCCAGAACCACCAAAGCTGCTCGTTGGATGCTGTAGAAAGAAGGTGAGATTAATAGAAAGGCTTTTTCAAGGGATAAGCAGGTCCTCAGTGAAAAATCGTCTTTCTGAGTCAGGCTAAGTAAAAGAACATAAGGATAATTTCCCTCCAAAGTCAGCTGAGCTCCCCACACACCCTGTGTCACCAGGATGAGACCTCAAAGACCACACTGAGTCTCACTGACATATGGCTTCCCTGTCTTTCTCCGGGCTCCGTGATTAGCTGTATTTCATCCGGCCAACAGTTGGAAGAGGAAGAAGTGACAAATTGTCATGGACATTTAGACATAGGTTGTGTGCAGTATTTCCTATTTTTCCTCGGTTTACAAAAGAGAAAACTGAGGATGCCAGAAAGGGCAAGAGACTTAAAGATGGTCACAGAGCTCATGAGCGACAGAACAAGAGACTCAGGTTTCCAAGGACCTTGTTGAGAGTTCTGTGTCATACGCCACCCTGCCCCAGGAGTAGGGAATCCTGGGGCTTAGGTCTATATCGATCAGCAGCACAATGGCAGTCACATAAGGGCAGAGTCCTTAAAAGAAGGCGACAGCTGAGAGCACTTGAGCTTCATGGTCCACAAGGCCTCCGACCCCTGGACTGGCTCTCAGCAGGATGTACGCAGAGAGTGGCCATCTCTCTCCCAGTGCTCAAGGTCTCTAAGCTTTCATCTGCTAGAACCATGGGTGATCCCTGGGGAAGCAGAGGACAGGAAACGTCCACCGGGAGGAGTGTACATGGGGGGAGGGCACCCGTACTCAGGAATGAGCAGGGGGTGACACAGGAACACACTCCTGGTGCCAGATGCAGGATAAACATGACCTCAAAGAGGAGTTTGCTACAATAAGACCAAGAGTTTTACATGCCCCATCTCTCTTGGCCCATACAATCATTCAAGGCAAGAACACTGAAGCTCAACAATGTTGGGTCAGACACACGGGAGAGCTGGGATTCTGATGCAGACTCAAACCTCCTACCTGGGCTCTTTCTGCTATAAGATGGAGCCCCTAAGTATGATCTCCAAGCTCTTCACCAGCCATCAGGGTACTAAATACCATAACTCTGTTTTTATCTTGCCCTTTTGATTTTCATTCCTAGTTCTCTGCTGAGTCTTGTGAGGGTGATTTATAATAGCTGGAGCACCCAGCGGGTGGGGGCAGGCAGTGTCTTTGATTCCTGGATGACCATGCTGCATTCCAACACTCTCAGGGAAGCCCAGGGATCTCCACTTCACATCAAGACAATGAGGCCCCTGGCCTACCAGCTGGACAGCAGAGAAACTGCCCTGTCCCCTTAGGGCTCTGCTTTAAGAGTTTAATAGAGAGTCCAAAGACAATCTAGAAGTCAGTCAGCTAATCTCCTTGAGAGAGCAGCCTCAATTAGTGATCTGCATAATAACACACACACACACACACACACACAGAGTCATGTAAACCAAAGGAACACTGTCAGGGGAAATTTGGTGAGGATCAACTTTGTGTAATGGAAATCTAAGATTCCTAAAAGCCAATTCCTATTTTGAAAGTCCTAGTCATCCCATCATTCAGTGAATTACTCACCATTTATTTTGAGGGGAGTGGGGGTACTGGGGGCTGAACCCAGGGGTGCTCAACCACTGAGGCTGTTTAAAGCCTCACTAAATTGCTAAGGCTGGCCTCAAATTTGAGATCCTCCTGCCTCAGCCTCCTGAGTCACTAGGATTCAGGCATGTGTCACTGTACCCAGCTCACTCACCATTCTCATACTTAGGGACCTGCATCCACCAGCACTGGGACTATAAGGATAGAGGAAGGATAGCCAGGTGCATGGAATGTGGCAATGTGACAATGAGCACGCTCTTATTCCAGAATACATGGGGACTGCACAAGCACACAGAAGAGCTAATGAGGGTGCAAGATCAGCTTTCCTGGGGAGGTGGCCCTTGAGCCGTGTTTTGTGTCACTGTGGACTTCTGTGCAGAGGTCCACCCTGCTTGTCCTGAGCTCTTGGTGGCCCTCCAGTTCACTGTGCTCTCAACCTTCTCCCTCACCCTCTGCCTGTGGCATTCTCCCCAGGGGGGCGGGTACTTCTCCATGCCGACTGCACCCAGAGGCTTGCCACGCCCCGCCCTGAGTAGTGCACGCACATGCGTCCTTGCACACTTTACTCCTGGCCCTGTCTCCAGGCTGATTTTCCAGAGTCTTTGGGCTTTTGTGGGACAGGGAGCTCCTTTGCACAGACATGAGCCTCGGTCACACAGACAGACACTGGGGACCACGCTATTTCATCCCATGCTCCTACACTGACCTAGACTGTCCCTGGGTGCCTGGCTTCTAGCAGAAAATTATTTCCCTGATCAAAATTTTAAGATGAAATGGCAATTTTAAAGGTTCTCCTCAGGCCCAGTTTCAAAGTAAAACTCTCCTGCGGTTATAGGTTTTGCATTTCTATTCAGCAAGGCCACGAGGAGCAGCCCAGGGAATCCCACTAAGTCTGTCGGTGAGGAAATAACTGCGATCTGCAACGCCTCCAGCCCACGACCACCAACAAGTACCCTGTGCTTCCTGGAGAAGGGGCTCTGTCCCTGCCCCTCTCCAGCAGGACTCCCATCCTGCTGACTTCCAGCAGACACCCTCCAAACTGGGGCAAGTCCCTGGCATCTGACCGTGGAGCAAAGCCTAGGCATCCCCTGGAAAGTGCACAGGGTTGGGACAGGTACCACTGGACAGAGACCTGTTAAAGTAGAGGTCTCGGTCTCCTGAAGGCCTGAGACCTGCTGCTCTGAAAAACCACGCAAGGGAAGAAGTGCAGGCATCCTCCTCTGGTCTAGCACCTCCTCAGAATGACTCAGAGACAGCAGGGGACCTGGCTGGCCGCCCAAACTGACAAGCTAAGACTGGCACAAGCTAAGACTGGCGCTGAAGGACTCTCAGCGTCTTTTATAAATGCCTCCAAGAGCTGTGCACACTCTCACCTACAGAGAATGGTCTGACACTCAACACATCTAGCAATACTGGGGAATGAGAATTTCCACAGGACTCAGATAATACTTCACCAATATGCCTAATTAAACAAACAAACAACAACAATAACAACAAACAGTTGTGATCTTTTGGACAGCATCTTCAACAAATGGTGCTGGGAAAACTGGAAATTCATATGCAACAAAATAAAATTGAACCCCTATCTCTCACCATGCACAAAACTTAACTCAAAGTGGATCAAGGACCTAGGAATTAAACCAGAGACTCTGCGTCTAATAGAAGAAAAAGTAGGCCCTTATCTTCATCATGTGGGATTAGGCCCCAACTTCCTTAATAAGACACCTATAGCACAAGAATTAAAACCAAGAATCCACAAATGGGACGGATTCAAACTATAAAGTTTTTTCTCAGCAAAAGAAATAATCTGAGGTGAACAGGGAGCCTACATCCTGGGAACAAATTTTTACCCCTCACACATCAGAGAGAGCACTTATCTCTAGGGTATATAAAGAGCTCTTTAAGATAAGCACCCCCCCCCAAAAAAAAAAAGAACTAATCCAATCAATAAATGGGTCAAGGACCTGAACAGACACTTCTCAGAAGAGGACATACATTCAATCAACAATATACAAAAAAAAAAAAATGCTCATGATCTCTAGCAATCAGAGAAATGCAAATCAAAACTACTCTAAGATATCATCTTACTCCAGTAAGAATGGCAGTCATTATGAAGACAAACAACAACAAGTGCTGGCGAGGATGTGGGGGAAAAGGGTACACTCATACACTGCTGGTGAGACTGCAAATAAGTGCAGCCAATTTGGAGAGCAGTATGGAGATTCCTTGGAAAGCTGGGAATGGAACCACCATTTGACCCAGCTATTCCCCTTCTCGGACTACACCCAAAAGAACTAAAAACAGCATACTACAGGGACACAGCCACATCAATGTTTATAGCAGCACAATTCACAATAGCTAAACTGTGGAACCAACCCAGATGCCCTTCAAACAAAGGCAAACCCTTCCACTAATCCCAATCTCTAGACCAGGTCATCTCTGGGCAAGGAGGGAGGTGAGAAAAATCAAGTTGGTGAGAAACTGCCACTGCTCTTACTATGATTATGTTCAGAGAGCAAAGGCAGTGACCTGGCTCAACAGACCCCATGCAGACCTGAACTACAGTCAGGGGGAACCAGACTATGGAGATGGCTCCATCAAAGCCTCAGGCAAGAAGCCTTCTCCCACGATAGAGAACTCTGAGCTCAAACATGGAGAAGCCTGAGCTCAATCAATATTACATGCCAATATATTCTCCAAGGAAATATACCTTCCAGACCACACAGATTCGTGGAGAACAGCATGCAGTGATACGCCTGGTCATACCAAAAGAAATTCATTCAACATCTACATGTGAAAACAGAAACACAGGAACCCCAGATACACGCATGAAGACAACACAGACCAAGAGGAGGGTGGTGTCATCAGTGGAAAAGAAGCTCCTCTGTTGGGCTTGGGCCCAACCGGAACCCAGGGGAAGGAAGAGCGAGCAAGGGGTCAGCACAAATGCTGAAGGAATCTGACAGCTACGACTTCACTTAAAACCCATTGTTGACCAGCTTGCCTTACTGGACTATTTTCTTTTTCTTTTTTTAAAAAAAATTGTTATTATTAGTTATACATGACAGTAGAATGTATTCTGACATATTATACATATATGGAGTATAACTTCTCATTCTTCTGGTTGTACATGATGTAGAATTACATTGGTCATGTGATCACATATGCACATAGGATAGTAATGTCTGATTCATTCTACCGTCTTTCCTATTCCCATTCCCCCTCCTTCCCTTCATTCCCATTTGTCTAATCCAAAGTACATCTATTCTTCCCCCTCCCTCCATCATTGTGAGTTAGCATCCACATATCAGAAAGAACATGCAGCCTCTGGCTTTTCAGGATTGGGTGCCCTTCAACAGATGAATGAATAAAGAAAATGTGAGATATATATATATATATATATATATATATATATAT